AATAAGAAATTAAATCAAGTAAATATGAGTATGTCATATTACACTCATAGGGAAACAGTGGAAGTACAACATCCTATCACATCTCCCTCTGTGGTTCTTACTTGCGTGCGGACAGTTTGATGGTGAACGGACAGCCCAGCGGGTCCACCTCATATGCTCCAGGTTTCCCGGCCACCGTGGAGTTGGAGGCGGCAGCCCCACCTGCAGCGCTAGCTGTGGCCCTGCAGCCGTATTTACAGTGAATGAACAGCTCTCCAATCTGCTCGGCTACCGCAATGTTGTTCACAACAACCGTTAGCTTAGCCGCATCCACTGGGCACTTGTCTGTGAGAAGAACAAACATGAACATAAGGTTATAATACACTTTAAACACTGCCCTAGTCTTAATGCTAGCACATCTAAAAAGAACATGTTATTACTGCCACATGTTTGACAAATTAGAGTTTTAAACATTTTAAGTCTCACCTGAAGTCAAGGCACATCGTCTGCAGAAGGTGTGCTGAGGAAGGAGGAAAAACAGGCATAATGAAATGTAAAGAGTTCACATGTCTTCTTATTATAATAAGTCAGGGGTTCCCAAGAAATTTGTCTTAACACATTGTAACCGCAGTTTTATTTCACCCTCATGTCAGGCATGATTCACTTCCCCAAAAATTATTAAAAAAAAAAAAAAANNCAGATTTGATCAGCTGTAGCTAGATAAAACACTTTTGCTCATGTTAGCTTCCTCAGCTGACTGAAAGTGCAGTCTCTGGCTGACTTAGTAATGCTTAAAAGTGACTCATTTTGAAACAATAAGCCTGTAAAATGGTCTTAAATATTTTTTTGATGGTTACATACATGAGGCTAAAGCTAAATGTCCCTACATGATAAATCCATGTAGAAGACATGGAAATAAAAAATTAAATTGTTTCTAGTGATACAGTCTAGAGCTAGTTAGTTATAAGTATGAAAAGGAAAGATGTAAAATCTGATTAATTTCACTCCAACTTCATTTATTCTGTTTAGGTTATATAATTGGAAAAGCAAGACAGAGGTTAGATTTTGGCTTTACTGTTCATACTTTAAACTTATATTTTACTTCTAGCCTAAAACTCTTTTAGGCTTTAGTCTTTTAGGACTAACCGATGTGTTTGGCGAATGTTACGCTATCTCAGATTTGACTTTCCTAAATCTGTTAAAGAGTAGTACAGAGCTGCTAACGTTAGCCTCACTCTGATATAGCATCATCCAGGAGAAGCTAAAAACTACAGAGTGGATGAAAGGGTACTTTTAACATGTTCAACCTGTAACCCAAACACAAATGCTGGGTTATTATTGTAGAAAGAAAGCTAGGTAGCCGGACAAGCTAGCAACTGTGGCTCAAGTCAGAACAGACAAACATACATCCTGTGCATGTTTTGGAGAGGGTAACCACCTCATATACAGAGTATCACACTTTGTACAACTCTACGCACACTGCTTTGGCACGTTGAGTAATACAAAGCTTGACAGACCTGCAGTGCCTGGTTTCAGCTGCAAAGCTATGATTGGAAAATTAATGTTCTAGGAAGGGGTTTATCTTATAATTTGCTTGAAGTACATCATCAAACATCCTTTAAAGGAACATGTCCCATAAACTCACCCCACATGTGGTGATGACGGGGTCCTTGAAGACGTTGCAGCACAGCTGGCAGCACAGTTTTACTGACGGCTGTTCAGCAAAAACCTGGGGCTCCTGCACACAAACACACACTCATTTGTGGCATTGTTTCAGTTCCCAAACTAACTTGTCACTGTGATCTTTTTATGTTTAAGTGTTTGTGAGCATATATATGTCCGTGTTTGCATTGTACCGTGTCCTCCTCTTCTTCGTGCAGAGAGAAAGTGGAGCGCAGAGACATGTTGGACTCGGAATGGAGAGATCGGACAGAGATGGCTGAATCTGACCTCCGAGGAGTACCGATGGGAGGCTGAGGGGATGGGAGAAAACAGTGGTGAGGAGAGGTCTATTCATGTATTGATACTGCTTTAGTATATCCAGATGAGTGGGATCCATCATTGAGGTTTAGACAACTGACACTGGGGAGTGAAATAAATTTCAACCCAAGGCTTCTCAAAAATGATGAATAGATTATTAGGCTGGGTTGAAAAAACAGCAATGTATAAGACTGTGTGCGTGAGAGTGTACCATTCCATCATCGTCATCGCGGGGAGAGTAGGTAAGAGTGCTGGAGGAAGAGGGGGTTCTTCTGTGCTGCTTGTAGGTGCCTTCTGTGGAAAACACAAGAGGGCACATTCACAAAAGAGTCAATGCCAGAACAATGGCGCACTTTAGTGGTTATGAAGCAAAAAAGAGAAAAAGTAATGCAGGTAAAGAAAAAGCATTTATAGAGGGGAAGATAATAATAATAATAATAGTCACCTTTAGGGACAAATGAGGCCTCCATCTTGCTCTGCACAGGAGAAAGGAGTGTTGGATGGATAGACAGATAAGATTATTTAAACAAAAAGTGTAATTACAGCACAAATGCATCATACAACACAAGTATAATCTTGATACTTAAATAAAATTTCTCTCCCTTTCTCACTAGTGTCTCTCACCACGCTGCTAGAGTCAGCTGGGGGGTTGGTGGGGCTGCTGGGAATGACTGCTGTGGTGGCTGCTGCTGCTCCTCCAGAGTATCGCTTGTAGTGCGGCGTCTTACAGCTGCTCATAACCCAGAGCACACACAGATGCACGAGGAAACACTAGCAGCTAGCTGGACAGGCTAGGCCTGGGCAGAGGGAAAGAGGAAAAGGAGGGTAACGTGAAATTAAATTAATAAGAGTGGGAGACAGATGTCAAGAGACAAAATAATCATAGAAAGACTCCATTTGCCTCTGAGCAGCACTGCAGGGGCTAACATCAGGACAAATACATAATGCTAGCCATAAGTTTGCTTTATGTTTTAACAGAATCAGAAGACAGCACCAAGACAAATTCCTTTGTGATTCTGAACAGAGACAGAGAAAAGACACACACCCACACCAGGTGCCAGTGGCTACAGTACAGCTTAAAGCCACTTAACATGAGAGGCGGTGTAGTGAGAAGAAAAAGGGAATTGTGGAGTAAATGTTTGTGTTTGACCTACTTTACTGGCTTCAGACACAACAAAACAACAATCCCACTTCAACTGTTATGGCAAAGTTTTATGGTTTTGTTTGTTCAACTGGATTGTTTTCATAGTTTGTGGAAGCGTTAAAGAAAATGCAACTCCAAGCCCATATTTAGTCAGCAATGGTTTAACACAGGAAGGTCAAAGTTCAGTCAGCCAGTCAGTAATAACCACTTAGAGAGGAATATGTTAATTGGGAGTGGGCAAATATCCATCAAACACCGATATTGTGAAGAGACAAGAGGTCGTCTGTGCAGGATTTGTTCAGAAGTATCTTGTCGAAGGATATTGTCATATTAATATCATATCTGTGTTCTGAAACCTGCATTAATAGCTCTCAATAAATATGCCATAACATTGCTTTTAGTATGCTGTTGCTCAATTTGACTGTTGTTGCAGCAGTGTACAAAGCAAATACAAGTTTTGTCTTACAAATTTGGGCCAGCAGCAACAGCTGTATAGGGCTGCAAGATATGGTAAAAGCATCATATTGAGATTACTTACTGAAATTGCGAGATGGTTCACAAACGATGGGAATGATAATTCACTAATCTTCACTGAAAAAACGATCAAAACTATGATGATGTCAATTTGGTGTGTACCAAACAAAGGAGAGTTCTGTTCTTACATCTCTTTAGTACTTCATTATACATTAATGCGGTTTGTCACATTGTATCTTTATCAAACAAATTTTACTTGGCCATATTACAAATTTCGATACTATTTTGATTAACTGTGAAGCCCTACGCTGTACAAATGCACATATCTATGCACTATACAGAGAGGCTGGGGCGGCAGGAAAAACACACAACAGCTGTCTGACTAAAGGCAACACCGACACCGAGTCTTACCAACAAAGTAACCAGAGGAACTGTAAAGTGTGAAGTGACCAGCATCTGCAAACCCTCAAACACACAGGGGGAGGCTGAGAGGCAGAGGGGGAGGGAGCAACACGAAGAGAGACAAAGGGGAGAGGGACCCGGGGACAACTGCATACTGATGTAAACAGAAAGGTATGCGGACTGTCAGCGCGTATGCTAACAGGCTGCACAGTCTGCCAAAGAAACGATCCGGGACCACTAATCCGCTCCGAACCAGCGCCACTTTGTTTTCATAAACCAGGAGGTTCCCGTAAAGAGGAGCCTCGACACTGAACAGGGGGGCGGAACACACACACACACACACACACATATATATATATATATATAACGTTATAGCTCTGTACCTACAGACAGTTAAGCTCGTCAAAAAAGCACGAGGAAGGAAAGAGAGAAAGAATGATACAATAGTAATACATATTTAAAAAATCAATTACCATCAGATAGATATATTGATGCATAGTATGGCATTTCGTTAATGTTGATGGTTGAATGTAGTTTTATTTTATTATTATAGGATGTAGTTTGTGGTCTGGTGAACTATATTGCGTTATACACAGAGGTGTCTATTATTTAGCATGGCCTCATTGATATAAATGGGATGGACAAAATAATAGAAACACCTCAGTATAACGTGATACAATTCAACAGCAGCACAGTCACAGGTAAAAACTGCTAGCTTTGCTGCTTAAAGTGTAATGGATGCATTATGTTTTCCTCTTAAAACACAAGTTGAAAAATCTACATTAATCTATATACATTTATGTGTTTGTATGTCTGCAGGTGTTTGCTGAGTTCCATCGCATTACAAATGTGAAGCTACGTAATCAGTTCTACTGTGAGGTTGACAGATACACACCTCAACTGATCTCTGATTTATGACCGCCATGTGAGTTTAAGATTAACTTTGCTGTGAGCACAATGATGGTTATTGATGATCATTTTATGATTATGTAAGTTGAACTGGCTTGATGTGCTGGTAAATATTTCTATAATGATTATTATGTTTTGGTTGTCAATGTAGGAACAACATGATGTAAACATGAGACGCAGTCTGGCCCTTCGTGCCCTCCCGGTGTACGTAAGAGAAGATGACTGAGTTCTTCAAGACCTGGAATGTAAGTATTTAGTGCACTCATAGAAATGTCAATATCAATNNTATAGTATGGGAAACCAACTTTAATGCCTCTTTTCAGGTTCAAATCGATGGATAGGTTTTTTTTTTCACAGTATAATGCTAAAATGTGGTATGTACAATGAAAGAGTGATTGGGGACCTCCTCTCCAAATTAGAGAGAAATCCACAGTTCTTGTTTCATGCAAATCTGTTTATGTAAGTGTATTTGAATCCAATATGAGTCTTCAGCTGTCTGAGTTAGAAAAAATATGTTGACATTGTTAATGATACATGACTTTAAACCTTTTTACTAGAATTATCCTTGTAATTGGATTGTTTGTATTTTGCAGCAAGAAGATGAGCCAGACATTGCTGACACTCCTGTGGGTCTCCTCACTGTGGTCACTGACAACACAACCCATTTCAGCCCCAAGAGCATTT